ATTTAATTCATAATTGTAAGCATAAATCTTCTTGAATCCCTCCTAAAATATCAATACAACACAACATAATAAATAACTATGAGTCATCAACAATCCAGTGGATTTTCAGCAGTCCCAGTGGGCTAACAGCACATGTTGTGGATTAACAGCACGTTTCAGGGGTTACAACAACCCTCGGGATTCACAGGAAATCCCAAAGTTATCAACAATTCAACTCAGATAAACACAAGAATCAGCAATAAAGACCCAACTTATCACAAACATACTACCACATAGGTAAAAGTGGTGAGAGCGTTAATGTGTTTGCAACACTGGAACACTGGTTATTGCGTTTGAAAAACTAAAAATTTGTATTAAGCAGCTATGAACAAAGCAAACATTAAAACCTTAGAGTACATGTTCACATGTTTCCGAAAATATAAAGAATGTCCAAAACATACGCAAAAGATACGATAGTTTTAAGAAAACATACAGTAAAACACTAGTTTTCTTTAATCGTGGAAAACCGGATCGATCCGTTGAGGCACTTGCACACCTCCGATGGAAATTCTGAGAGCCTTTTTAGACTCATGTTATGGCCTAATATTTAATTTCATACTCCAAATATTTTTAGCTAAAATATTTGCAAAAGTCGAAAAATCGAGCGTTACAGATCATTTAAACGCGAAACTTTAAACACGAGTTCACGGAGTTCCGTAACTCGAAAAATTAATCCATTCAGGGTTTTGAAATCCTTGAATTAAGCTCTATCTAACGGCACTTTCGGGAAAAAAAAAATCTCGACATCGAGATCCCGATACACCAAAATATAGTGATTTTGAGCAATAAAGGGAATGTAAACCTAATGTGGGGCCTACATGGAACTGCAAGCTTAAAAAAAATCTGATTTTGTCTCATGTGTAAGCCTCCCCACATGACCATATTTCCCCTTACCCTTTCCATATTGAGTGTACACATCACCATAAGGTACCAAGTATGGTAAGGATGTATAACCATTTCCAATCTTGTGTGGGTGTTCTTGACTATAAAAGGGAGCTCATAACATCTCAATTGAAACGCCAAAGATCTCAGTTTTTCTCTCAATCTCTCCCTTCGTATCTCTCTCTACCTCTCTTGGAATGAAGCACTAATTTGTGTAAAACAAACTAGTTTTAATCCTGACAAACTCAAATAAAAACAAACACACGCAGGCAGTATACCTATCGATAGCAGTTTAGTTCAAGCAAGCAAGGTATCGAACACAAGGAACGGTAATAATTAAACCCTAAAATCACGATCCAACTCGCCGAGTCACCCGCCGGCTCGCCGAGTTCCCTTGGTACTCGTAGTCGTTATAAAGTGAGACAACTCGTCGAGTTCTACCTTATTCAGAATCAGGACCAATCGACTCAACTCGTCGAGTTCCCCTATCGACTCGATGAGTTTCTCAGTCTGTTTGGGACATCTTAATGGATTAAGCCCATACTCTTCAGATCTAGGCCTCATACTTCTCATATACATTGAAAATGTCCTTTTAAGGATAAAGTTTCCAACTTTACCCGTTAATATCTTCACTTAACGGGTTTAATTCAAACCCCAGTTCTTTAGGAACTAGATCTTTATTCTAAAGCCATCAATACTCTAAACTACCAGTACTCTAAACTAAGGCTTATAAACTGAGATCTGTACCCTTAACACTACATAAATACGTAAAGCTTCCACCTTTTCTCTCCATGCATGGGCTTTTGGAGCTTAAAAAACAAAAATGACATCCTATAGCTTGCACATGGGCGAAGCTAATAAGGGGACTGTCAGATGCTTGCCCCCCCCCCCCCCCCCTTAATCTCTCAAGTAAAACTTTAATTCTAACATACTACATAGATAAATATAAAGCCCATGAATAATTAGAAGCCCATGTCATCTATTGCTAATTTTGTACTTTAGTAGTGCTCAACCCCTTTTATTCTTTCTTAAAATCAATTACTTTATAAGAAAATAAAAGGTTTAACAATTATGACTAAAATTAAGTCTTACATATATTAACTAAAATCTCATTGCTTCCACACACATTTACTTTAATTGTCGGATTGCTTTTGGTTTATTTATTTTAATTAAAGTTCACAAATTGCTATTAATTGTAGATCGCTATAGCTAGTAGTTTTTTTAATTTATCTTCCACACATAATGTTATATATGATTTCTATTTTGTGAAACAAAGACAAAACAATTCAGATAACTAATGGTTGAAAATTGATGATTATAATCATTTGAAAACATTTTTTAACGAAAATTGATTAAAAATTTTGAAGATTGATTATTGTAAAGATCGATGTACACCATATTTAAACGATTTTTTTTCTTTATCAATTTTACGGACCCAATTACGTTATTTGGATATAAAAATATTTTAATCTTTTATTACGATGTAAGCCTTCCTTATCCTGAAATCCTAACTCTGCTCTTGAGCTTGCATGGGGCTTTCATGGCAGAGTTAGGATTTCAGGATAAGGAAGGCTTGTAATCTTTGGAATCATGGAGGGCTTTCATGGCATAAAGGTGCAAACCTTGTAATCTTACGTACAACCTTGTAATCTTTCAAACACTTTCCATAGTTTACATTTGGAACCTTTCACATTAACCACAATTTTAAAATTTTGGGAGGCATACCGAAATAAAAGAAGTTGTTGAAATGTGTAAATATACTATAAACATACAATCATATACACTAAAACTACTAAATTACATTGGAAATTAAAAAAACTAAACACTAACACTCCTACATTATAAATTAGACGCACAATAAATATACAATAAACATTTCACTAAAAAAAATCTAAGGTACAAGATGCTGAGCACCATGCGAATGTACAACCACATAATGCACGCCTACTGCATCGGAAACTTGTACATTCTTATCATATATTGTGAATGTACAAGGTTCTCATGAAGCACCATGCGAATGTACAACCACATAATACACGCCTACTACATTAGAAACTTGTATATTCTCATTTGATCACAAAACATATATTGTACATATACATTACAATCGCAAATCTGCAGAACAATGAAATGTTCTAAAAATTCTAAGGCTAACAATCAAATAGTTGAAAATAGCCATACATTTAACAATTTATCTACCAAATATCATATTCTTCTGTTTTCAGCAAAAAAAAAAGTATATAGAAACAGAATATAAATTATATAAAACCTTGTAAATGATGATTATAACACTAAAGAAGTAGAGATCTTACCATGTTTTCGGGAGAATAAACTGAATCGTACATGGTTCTTCAATAAGAGGTTTTGAGAAAGTTTTCCCAACTTAAAAGATAAAAAAATGAGGGCTTTCCAAAAAAAAAAACAATGGTATTTATATGGGCTAATTTCATAAAAAACCTTAATTTTTCACGAAATATTCGGTTTTACCCTTTTTCATATTTTAGGTTCGTTAAAACCGCAAATTTACATATATTTTTGCATTCTTACTCTCTTAACAGGTTACTAGGTTAGTAGAGGGTTAATTACACACGTGGCATGCCACATGGCTCTGATTGGGCTGATATACCGACACATAGACGCTAAGGTGATATTTCTTTTATTTTAAAAATGTAGAAATAAAGTGGTAAGGGGAGCCGCAGCAACAAGGTTCGAACTCAAAACATATAAGCAACTTACAAGCAAAACGCAACCACCCTTCTGCTATGCTAGAAACGTTTTTTTTGTCGCTAATGCTGGAATATGATTTATAATGTAACCTAAAATGCTGAATGATTTTAATTATTATTATTATTATTATTACTTAGATTATTATTATTATTATTCATTTATTTATTTTTATTATATATATTTTAAATATATAAATATAGTTTTAAAGCTAAAAAATATGTTTTTAAAGTTATAAATAAGGTATTTTATGTTTAAAAACTGTGTTTATGCATTTAATAACGTATTTATATATAAAAAATATATTTATTTATACTTAATAGATATAAATATGTATTTATTTTGTATAAAAGTTACATATAAATATGAAAATATATATACATATATTACTATGGTTTCTTTTGTATACATATAAATATATATATAAATATGCTTTTAAATTGTATAAATACATATAAATATGTTTTTTATACATATAACATTTGTATTTGAAAAAACTCATATTCACATAATAAAATACACATATAAAACGTACTTAGACATAATGTTTTTTTATACATTTTTATATATAAAATCAACTAACTATAAAATAAGTGTTATATATAACGTCAACTAACTATAAAATACATTTTTAGTGTATTATATATGTATTTAATCATTTGGTTATGTATTTTTTTTGAAATAAAAATGTATATGTATAAAAAAGTACTTATATTTATTAAAAAAACATATAAAAACATATTTGTATACAATTTATACATATTAAAAACGTATTTATACAATTTAGAAACATTTATATATTTATATATATTAAAAACGTATTTATTCATATTCATATGTATCTATGCGTTTTGAAAATGTATAAATATATATAAAAATATATTTTATAAATTTAAATATGTATTTATAATTATATGCATACTTTCATTAATAATAATAATAATAATAATAATAATAATAATAACTAGAAAGGTGACCCCCGCAAATGTATCGCTTTTGTGTGGAAGTATAATACATTGTTCTAATTGGTAGCTACAGTAAAGTATGTTGCTATTGTCTACGTTTCGCCCATTTATAAATACACAAATATGTTGTAGTATGCTATAATATAATGACCCCTTTGTGTTGCAAAGTAAATAGTAAGTGCGGCAGCAACACCCTGTTAAAAAAAGAGTAAAGTATTACCTCTCGAATATTAAATAAAGCAATGGCTAAGGCTAGGTCATGGCCAATACGAAGACCCTATAAAACAAACATAAGCAGTATAAAAACATGTGCAATGTTTCAATACAATTTTCTAAAAATCAGTTGACTATTAGTAATCGTATACCTACAAATCAACAATACACACAATTTCAGTAATGGATCAAGTAGTTCTTACCAATCACATCAGCTTCACAAAGAAGGGCAACATTCGGAATATCAAGACCTTGGATCATAGCATATGTGCTCTCAATACATGCCTGTTATTAACTGAAAAAATTTAAGTGCATAAAATATTATTTTTTTGCATTCAATTTAAATTCATTTGTACACCAACCCCATGTAAACCCTACATGAAAAAAGCCACATATTATGTAAATACAATGCATTATTCAAGTCTATATTTTATAATAGATTATGAAAATTAAGAAAATTGAAGGAATGATATGTTGCTTTTCTGTTGCTAAAGTTGTTTCAGATACGTGAGGATTGCATCCTCCAGAGTTCTACTAAAAATCTTTGTAGGTAAGTGCCCAACCACCTCGATTCTCGCTTTGTATATTATAAAAGTATTTAAAAGCTAGATCCATAAAACAAACCAACATTTAAAATCCAGAGGGTAATAAGGTAATTATACCTGCCAATAAAAAACTTTAAAAACATCCATGATTATTTTCAGTTCTACCCAATTAATGGAAAGATTAAGATGAAAAGAACACAACTGAACCCAATATCATCAACATATCGAAAAAAGACTTTAAATTAATAATTAAGATTTAAGCAATAATATAATATCAAAAACAAAAAAAATCAAAAAAGATATATAAAAGGAAATGGGACAATTAACCGGTGAATACTTACATGTATTGCTTTGAACTTGCATTTGTTTCTATTACTTAAAAAAACAAATGACAAAAAAAATAAGTGCATATTGCTTAATAAATGGGATGCATGCATTTAATTTCTTTTTTTAGTCATTTTACCTTAGAGGCTTAGACATAGTCTAAGGGTATTTTTGAAAACTTATCTTTTTTATGTAGTACTTGAATTTGTTTATGTTTTCTTTTCTAGTAGCCGTATTAGAGAATAGTTCCAACATAAAGTCGAAGATCATCACCATCTTTGTTGCCCAAATTTCAGTAAGTAAAACTGTATCTGGTAGCACCTGAAAAAAATACAAAATATTGTCATGGATGTTTTTTTTTTTTTTTTTTTTGTAGAGTTTTTTATAATTTTATTTGTCTTCTTGGGATTTTAATTTTCTTTTTTACATGAAACATGATCTGAAAGTATACTCCTAAAAGCCGATGACTTGGGTAGGGTGTCTTCGATTTTTAGATCGTATGAACAGTTACTTAAATAAATAGAGGCAAAGGACATTGATATTAATTGCAAAAAAATTAGAGTAATTTTTATGATAAATATGAATTATTCAGTTTTAACTTAAAAATAATCTCATTTGCAAATATTTTTAATCTTAAATATTTGCTTATATATATTTATATTTCATTTCGTTATTTTTTACAACAAAATAGTTTTTTTAAATGAAAATATATAATTACAAACGAATTATACAATCACTTTTTATTTTAACACAATTTCTAAAATGAAACCAACTTTGATGTGATTTTCAACTTTACAGCATATAATTCAAACAATATAAAAAAGCATGAAAATAAAGATTTGTGCGAGTGATTAAATTACCTCATTGATTATGCTTTCTTTTTGTTGTTCAAGCTTATGATAATTATGCTTAAGAGTGTCATAATTAGACTTAAGAAGATTGTAGTCTCTCTCCAACTGTTTTGTCTTCCAGTGATTTTACTTGATGATTATTTAATCTTCTCTTTTTATTACTAAATTGTCCTCCACCGTAATCTTTACCATCGCCGCCGCCACTGCCACTGCCACTGCCACTGCCGTCTACCATTGACTGAAATTCTCTGTTGTAAATGCAGTCTTCTTCCGATTTCATCTCTCATGAGTCATGAAAAAGAGAAAGAACATAAATTTTCAACAAAAAAAACTCTAGCTTTGACTATTTTAAAGGTCAATCTATCCACCTTTCAAAAGTGAAATTCAACAAAGAATATTTGGTTTAAGCTAAAGATCAATGATAATTTCAACTTAAGAACATAACAAAGTCAATAATGTAAATTTGTTTTGAACGATTTTCGAATATCAAAGGGATCAGGTGGAATTTCCAAACTCAAATTTGACCTCTTATGATATAAGAGATGGAATTATGGTTTATTAAAATGCAAATTAAGAAAGAAAAAGAAAAGATACAGTAAAATTCAAGATCTTTTTGAATATAAAATATGAGAAATGCTAAAGAACTGCATAAAGATGATGCAGAAGACCATTCCTTTTACAAAAGCAAAAGAAAATTGACGTATCAAGAGCATGGTGTAACTTTTAATGCATGAATCATGATATACAAGTAAGTAATTCACAAATGCTCTAGATTATTCTATTATATTCAGCAAATAACAATCTGCTATTGAATACCTTCAAGTGTGTGTGAGAGGAAATGAGTCAATGAATCAAAACAATTAAAGTTCCTCTTCATAATGCCTTGAATCTTCCCTGTTTAAAAAAAACAAATCAAAAGGTTCAAAACCTTTTAGAATAAATCAGTAAAGTGAACAATAATCAAGAATGTCAACTTCCTAAACCTGACTACAACGGTTTCAAAAAAGAAAAAAACTTTTGTATTCATCACAAAGGTCTAAACTTTATTCCTATTTTGCCCTTCCTCTCCCCCCCTCCATGAAAAGGAAAGGTTTCTCAAAGTTGTAATTACTCTTGGTTGAGATTTCATAATACTACAAGTTCTTTTTGTAAAAAGTAAGTTGTTTTGCTTTCACTTGACGGTTCTTCACATCAACTTTGTTTGATAAAAAAATGCAAGAAAAAATACCACAAAACTAATCGGCAAAGATCACGATGCCATGTGGGAACATTCTTGTAAGTGAACCTTGCAGTTACATAAAACATGATAATGGCACATTCAACATGAATGCTAGAAATCATTCAAATAGGTTAGTAAATAAGCTAATTATAATAGTTAATAAAGGGCATTTTAGACATTTGATAAACAAAAAAAATGACAGATTAGATACCTACTAATAACCATGTTTTTGATTGGATTGTTTATTACACAACATACAGAGGCAAATACACAAACACACAAATTGGATTATTTATTTAAACAGACAAACATATTTATATAATATGCAGTTGTTCATCATAAACTTATCGATATGAAAGATAAAATCAGTAAAAAATATTCTTGTTTATGCAACGATAAAAAGAAGGATTGAGACTTACATCATGATACGTCTTTCTAAGGTTAGGACCAATAGAAATTTAGATAAATATTGTGAGAAACTACATGTGCAACTCCCTTTGACTTTGTAGTTTGCTTTAAGCCCTCTTTCCATTAGAGCCTCAGGAAGGTCTGCAGAAGTTTCATCAGCCATAGCAGTGCCAGTATATAAACACAAAAAAAATTATAAACAAAAGGGGACAAAATTACCCCTGTCTCATACCTTGGTGGGTTTGTAAACAATACGACGATAAATCTTTCTATGGAATTTGGGTTTGACTAACTTTCCGATGACATAAGCTTTGGCTGTCACCCGTCATTTTGACGCCCCATCATATTGTAGATCACACTGATGACCTGTAAATTCACATTAAAAAAATAAAAACCACTACTAGAAAAACAGCCTTTTACGATGTGCAAACGGCGACACTCAATGATTTATGTTACGCAAAAGAGAGTGACATAAAAAAAGTGTAATCTCTTCAAAAAATTTAAGAATTTAGGTCGCGCATTATTGCGTGCCCTTAAATTAGTGTCCAAAAAACAAAAACAAAAAAACACGGAGGGCACCTATAATAAGATGCGTGTCGTCTAAGGATGTCGCTTTATAAATTTAATTTGAACGCGCGTTCTATCCTTTAATAATCAGGGGGAACGCGTTCCATCCTTTACTAATCAGGGGGAAAATGAAAAAATGAAATCTTAAAACATTAAAAACCCCCGCCTTCCTTTTTTTCTTCTTTCCCTCTTGCCCTAATTATCGATTCCTCATTTTTCTCTCAGATTTGAGTCTCCTCTTTCATCAAAAATAAGAGGTAGCAAGGTAAATTTTCTGAGATTCGAAACTATATGACTCGAATTAGAGGTTGAAGATCAGAAATCGATGGTTACAAATCAGATTTGGGATCGAAAGTCAGAGGTTCAAGGTACAATCGGAAACATCAAGAGAAGGAAAGCAAAAGCGGAGGAGGCATCAGGTTCGAAGATTGTTCTCTTCTTCTTCATGTATATGCCCTGGATTTCTTTCTCTTACATTCAATCCCTAAAGATTCTTTTATTCCCTAAATCAGGTACAAAGATTATTCCCTTCTCCTCCATCTGTTTTTGGAACACATGGCTCTACGAACCCTTGCGACTGCTAAAACCCTAGGTGCGATATCCAAGTTTTAGCAACATGTGTGTGGATTGCAGACGTTCACGCTTCCCGATCTTTCCTACGATTATGGAGCACTGGAGTCGGCGATTAGCGGAGAGATCATGCAGCTCCATCACCAGAAACACCACTGGACTTACATAACCAACTACAATAAAGCTATCGAGCAGCTCGATGATGCTATCACCAAGGGAGATGCTTCAACTGTTGTCAAATTTCAGAGCACTATTAAGTTCAATGGCGAAGGTTAAACACTATAATTTCCTATCTTGTCGATTTCAGTGTTTTTGGTTGAATACTTGCTAGAAGCGTTATGTACGAATTTACATCTATATATATATATATATATATATATATATATATATATATATATATATATATATATATATATATATATTAATAGATAGATAAATCTAAATAATAATAATAATAATCAATTTGAAGCTCTATTACCATCTGGGTTCTGTTTAAAATCTTCATTTTCTCTCTTCGAATCTGCAATTTCAAACTTGAAGGTATTCTAATGGCTTCCTCTAGTGGTACGACAACATCATCAGGTGGTTCATACCCAATTCAGAACTCGGGGTCTGATGAAGATCTTCAGCAATTGATGGATCAGAGGAGGAAGAAGAGAATGATTTCGAATCGTGAATCTGCAAGGAGATCTAGAAAGAGGAAGCAAAAGCATCTGGATGATCTCAGGAGTCAGCTGAATCAACTCAGGAAAGAGAACAACCAGATCATATCAAGCGTCAGTATCACCACCCAGCATTACATAAGCGTGGAGGCGGAGAACTCTGTTCTGAGAGCTCAGGTGGCGGAGCTCAGCCACCGGCTACAGTCTCTGAACGAGATGATCGCTTTTATGTACCAACCTGTCGACACCGGTTGTGGGTTTGCGGACGAGCAATACGGCGGTGGAGGTGGCACTGAGTTTGTCGACGAGTTCATGAATAACTCACTGAGTTACCTTTATGCAAACCAGCCTATTATGGCTTCAGCAGACATGATTCAGTACTGAGTCAGATGTAAATCTCCTAAAAGTCTTGAAAAAAAATTCAGATTTGGTGATAGCTTGGGTGTGTTAGGGTGGGGTGGGGTGGGGTGGGTGGAATAAAGATTTGTGAACAAAGGAAGATGAAGATTTATGTGATGATTTATGGGTACAAAGAGCTATGATTGTAATGGGTCTTTCTTGCAAGGTTAAACACTATAATTCGATTGGAAACTTCCTCTTCAAGTCCTAAATAGGTTAAAGTGAAACAATTGAACAACACATTTAGGACAAATTTGATGCTAGGAGGATAATAATATTCATACAACCACAAATATCTAATCTACCCTTATGTCTCTGAGCAGGTCATGTAAATCACTCAATTTTCTGGAAGAATCTCACTCCCACCAGTGTTAGTTTCTTGACTTCTTCTTCTTCTGATTTAGATGATAATTCTGACTTCCGAGCACTATAATTTGACCAAAACTGAAACCCTAAAACCTTATTGCAGGAAGGAGGTGGCGAGCCACCAAATGGTTCTTTGGGCTCGGCTATCAACCAGAGCTTTAGTTCTGTGGAAAAATTGATTGCTAAAAAGAACGCAAAAGGCGCTGCTGTGCAAGGTTCTGGATGGGTGGTATGTTCCTTAATCTTTATTTTGTCATTTTGGTTTTTACTTTCAACTTTTTTTTTTTTGTTATTTTAAACTTATGATATATTTTGGCAGTAGCTTGCTGTTGACATAGAGTTGAAGAGGCTTGTGGTTGAAACCACATCAAACCAGGTAAGTTATCACTAGTTTTATTCAAACAAATTAGTATCCCTATTAAACTTCAGAAATCAAATTATTGAAATATGAATCTCTGTTGTAGGACCCACTGGTTACAAAAGGTCCAAGCTTGGTTCCTCTGCTTGGCATAGATGTTTCGGAGCATGCATTTAAACAAATTTCATTTTTGTATGGTATACAAATTGTACACATTTCAACTTATATATGTGTTTTTGTACAATTTGCAATATAAAAATGGCAGGCCCGATTACTTAAAGAACATCTGGAAGGTGATCAACTGGAAATATGCAAGTGAGGTATATGAGAAAGAGTGCCCTTAAAAGAGTTGCAGGTTTGTTAAGATTTAAAGGATGCAATAAAGAAACCCTATTTTACCCTTGGGATATGAACATACTGTGTATGAAACCAGTTTTCCTGTTACACATTGGATTTTTCTGATTAGAATCCATTGAATCATTGAGTTTCAGTCAATAACTAACATTCCTTTGTGCAGATGAAGCTTATGATTGCTGTTTAAGAGCTGTTCAAATACTACCTATACATTCTCTCTCTCTCTCTCTCTCTCTCTCTCTCTCTAATAACTTTGTGAAGAATTGTACTTAAAACACGATTTTTTGTGCAGCTTCCAGAATTTATGATGGGTCTTGCAAATCTTGCTTTACTTTCTGGTGAGCGTTCATCTTTAAAGGTACTTGTTATATGCAAAGAAAAGGGTCATAGTCTTGCATCAGATCCCACATCCATATTTACACTTACATACCCTCATTTGTCACAGGTTTTGGGACCCATAAGCCAGGCCTTGCATCATGCACCCCAGTATTTGGATGGCTTACCAACTGTATGCATATTACATGTACTCCGCCTTGCAAATTTGGATTCTGCTTGTAAGTTTATTATTTATTTATTTATTTATGTATTTTCCAATGTATTTTTCATAAAAATCTTATGAAATATGTTTTTCATAAAAAGAGGGAGTAGTGATAAATTAAGATTTATTTATATCATTTAATAAATCTTTTACACATTTGAAGTTATTAAATAATAAATATTGTGTATTTTGTTGTCTGCAGTATGATGACACAGAGAAACGAAGAGAAATGGCTAAAAACTCTTTAGAAAGATACACTCATTATTATGAAAGATGGGCTACAAACCAATCCATAAGCTTACATTATTATTGTTATAACTTATAATATCGTTTCTATTTATATAAAAAATACTCTTGACTTTTATATGATGTTTTATAATTTATAAGTTTTAACAGGATAATTATTGTTTTCTGTTCTGGAGTTAGCAATGTCATCAAACACAGCTGAAACTGTGAAAAGAGCCAGAGAACTGAGGGAATTGGGAGTTTACCCTATGGTCCTCATGTCCCAAATGGCTACACTTATTATGGACATTATTGCTGGAACATATCAAGTAATTGAAGCTAGTGCTGACTTATTGTTTGATGGTAGAAGCTGTAAGTTCTTCTTAACTTTTTTTCTTTATTATTATACTATGTTATAACGTGTGGACACCACAAAAAAATTTAAAACAAATGTTAATTAAATTATAGGGTTAATCTAAAAGATACCTTATTTTGTGTTTGTTTTGAATAAAACTTCAAAATTACTTTTTGCCCAGATAAAAAAAATTCTGTTTTTTTCATTTTTCCCGATCCGGCCATTTTAATCATTTTTTTGTCAAAGAATTTGTACACTAAATAGCACATAGGGGGAGGGAGGAGGGTGTTAAAATGATTATACAATGAAACATAAATTTTGTAAACTAAAATTTAATAATAATAATTTATCGTGTTAAAAAAAGGTTGTAAAAGTATTTATGATTCAAAGTAATATAATTTTTGATAATTATTTAAAGATAAAAAAGTAATTAAATTAATTGAAATCTGATCCTTATGATTGAAAGTAATATAATTTTTGCTAAAAATTACATAAATGCTCCCTCTGTTAACCAATTTACAAAACAACTCATGTCTTAATAAATTAATTGAAATCTGATCCTTATGTTATTCAATTGACATAACAGCCCCTGTGTAACTAAATTTTCAAAGAAGTACATTTGTGTTAAAAAATTACATAATGGCCCATGTGTTAATAAAATTTAATGAAATTTGGTCCCTTTGTATAAATCAAAGTCTAAAGAAGTAATCACAGTGATTTTTTTTTTTGCATTTTTTTTTTATAATAATTGTTGTAATGTTGATTACATTCAATACAGTTTTAACAGAAACTTTAAGTTTTTCATTTAAACATTATGTTCAAAAAGTTTTAAAAAAAACTGTTACAACCGAAAAGTATGATTTAGATTTATGAAATCAGCATTACATCAAATTATGCTAAAAAATTCAAGGATACCTGACATTATTTCTTTAAAGGGAAAAGGACAAATATGCCTTTTTCTTTATAATTTATGAAAAAACAACAACAAATGAAACAAAAAACAAATACCACACTTCTGTTGTATGCTATCTCCTTCTCACGAAATAGATACCATAGAAAACAGATACTATGTATACATAATGAAAGTAAGATGATATATGAAACTCAAATCTTTAAAAAAAAGTAGTAGAAGGAGAAGAAGATTCGTAACAGAAGGAGAATGAAAAGAAATAAACTATAAACTGAAACTATGGATAGGTAAATGAAACTAGTTGCTAATTCTTGCGTTTAAACTTTTAATATTGTGTTTTTTTCTTTGTTTAAAATTTGTTAAGTGTTTTTTTAATAGATTGTAGCCTCGGAATCCATACGAGACACTGGAGCAGTTGCAAGTTCTCGGGCTGCTGAAATTGGGCTTGATAGTCTAGCACAAACAATCCAGGTGTCACCTAGTTATTAAAGTTATATTTGTAAACATGTATATAAATACAAGGGCATTTTGGTCATTATACCCCCATAAAAGTTTTTAAAAAAGATAGGTAACTATTTGTTGCGCTTAATTTATGGATTGATAACATTAAAAAAATCACATCTCATAGTATTTTCAAATATACATTTCTCCTTTTGTCTTACAATTTTTATATTGAATGTTCAAGATAATTTAGATAACATAACTCGTTTTCTAATACTAGCAAGAGAACCTATAATCCAAGGAATTGACAAGCCCCATAAGGTAACAAAAAAGATAATTTATTTTATTGTATTTTAAATCAAATTATCAAATCATATATAAACTACCCAAACAATATTCAAATTTTATTTTTATCGCCTCAATTTTGCAGACGAGCATTGTGTTTACATTAGAAGAAGGCCCGAGGGTCTTGTTCAATGGCTTAGTTGTGTTTGCTCTAAGGGATATCAACTTATCAAAAGTAAGTTATTTTTTTCACCCTTTTATTTAATATTTTCGTGATTGAATGAAAGTCTTAATGAAAGTAATTGACAACCCTTTTTCTGTAAATGATGTTGTGATTGTGGGAGAGGTGTTTTGTTTTTCTCTGTTGCTAGGTAACCTTCTCAACAACATCATTCTACTTAAGCAGGTGATTAACCAAGATTAAGGGAGATTTTTAATCATGTTTGGCATTCCTTTCCAGTAAGAAACAAAGTTGTATGATTATTTGTTAGTTTTATAGGAATGTACAACCCATGCTAGCAATGTATCATTTTTGTTTAACATTTGAATGATTCTTTGTATGACATTATAATTTGTGCAATTTATTTTATTTTTTGAGTATGAAATTTTATTTTATATTATATAATGGATTGTATTTTTTGTATACAGTATTTTATTTATATTATGAGAAATTAAATGCAAATTTAATTTAAAAATTAATAAATATATAATTTTTTTTAAACATTTAAATTTACGATACGCAAAAATGTGTGTCATCTTCATTAATGACATGGCCTTTCTTGACAGGGGCTTTCTTGATACACATTGCGTGTCATTAACACGCGTGTCGTAAGGTTAGGACACGCGAATGCGTGTCGTCTTTCTTTATACATGGCCTTCCTTGATACGCATTGCGTGTCGTAAACGCGCGTCGTAATTGCGCGTCGTAAATGAGCGTCGTAAATGAGCGTCGTCTCTCTTTATGACAGGGCCTTCCTTGACGCGCATTTGCGCGTCGTCTGAGCCTTTTACGACGCGCAATGAGCGTCGTAAAAAGCTGTTTTTCTAGTAGTGAACCAAACAATCACGAACTTGGATAAGCATTGCCAAACAAATTGGATATATTAGGTGTCAAAGGTCAATCAATGGAGGTTGATAACATAAATGAGCAAAATTTATAAAAACAAATCTTAAAGAAAACCAAAAAAAATGTAACTCACCTGAAACCATATCTTCATAATGGAATTCATATGACATAAATATATGTTCTTAATGTTTAAAGAGAAAAAAAAATGAATTCCATCTACAATACCTAGTTAAGAGTACATCGATTATCATTCACCTGCAATTACCAAAGAATAAGGTGAAATATTTTAATAACGATATGATGGAGTAAAAATACAAATCTTACCTACATCAAAAAACTCATTGACATATTCAGATACAATTCTTCCCATTTATCTACAAAAAGCAGATAAACAATCACACACATACATACGTCTGTGGTGAAAGCTAACAATTTCATGACAAAATTATTACTTCTCTCGACATATTGTCCCAAATTGAGCAGTTGTGTAAGCTAATTTAATTAAAATTGACAATCCAACAGGTGGAACATTACAACAAACAATTGGTGTGCACTGCAACATACCTAAAAACAGGAAAGCATTTGTGTTACACATAAATCAAAAGAAAGTATAGAAAAAGAACAAATCGTTCCGACTGGAGAAACACATGAATGTATCGGAAACAAAGAGCAAAAAGATCAATATTTGTCACCTGAAACAACAAATCAGATTCAAACCTTCATCGTATCACCAACCATCACACCTAATAACAGAAAGTGGGAGCAAATAGAAATCGATTCAAAGAATAAGGCGAATAATTTGTAGTAAGTGTACGCCCTATGTGGCCGACCATGCAGTGCGTTGTGACCGACTGACCATGGAGACGACGATTCCTCCAACCAAGATGCACTACGGCGATGGGTAGGGCACGAAACAGATACGAATCTATGATGCAGTGGTCAATTGGTAAACATTTGAGAGTTTTGGAGGATTAAGTCGGTGGTTAGGGGAACCAACGAAGAAGGTGAGCGATGAATAAGATGGAGTAGACATCGACAATGGAAAATGGTGGCATATTTGGGGATATGGGGTGAAGCAAACCACAGGAGGTGGAGTGTCACACCCCAAAAACCGAGAACGGCGGAAACGTTTTGGGGCGGAGGATGTCATGTAATGTATCATAACAATGCAAAGTAGTAAACAAGCAACAACATCATCCATTGCATTAATAGTATATTTTTGGTTACAAGTGTTCTTTCATAATATAAGACAACATAATGGACAATCAAAATAAAATAGGAGTCTTGATTTCTCCATCTTCACAAAACCTGGTCGTCGTACCTGTCTATTTGTGACCAATGAATACAAGTTATTTTGAAAGCGAGTATCATCCAAAAAAGCTGGTGAATTCATAAGTATTAATGTGTCTTTGATTTGTAAAACTGTAAAGTAATGACTTGTAAACCTTTGGAAAAAGATTGTATAAGTATGAACTATTTGAAAGCAGTTGAAAGCGTTTGAATACCCTAGCAAATCCCTACGATTTCTATTAGTATAAAGAGTAGCCTTCTACGAAGACCCGAATGTTTTGAAAGTAGTCTTCTACCAAGACTCAAATGTTTAGAAATTAGTATTCTACCAAGACTCAAATGTATGGAAAGTAGTCTTCTACCAAGACTTGTATGTTTTGAAAGTAGTCTTCTACCAAGACTCAAATGTATGGAAAGTAGTCTTATACCAAGACTAAAATGTTTTGCTATAACAAAGATGGTTTTCTCCTCTATAACTATTATTAACAATATATAAAGTCTACCTCGTCGTTTATGTGAATGGATCACAAACTAAAAGTAATAGGAAAAATATAGTCATGTAAGTGTTATCCTTTTGTGGACATCGACAATGGAAAATGGTGGCATATTTGGGGATATGGGGTGAAGCAAACCACAGGAGGTGGAGTGTCACACCCCAAAAACCGAGAACGGCGGAAACGTTTTGGGGCGGAGGATGTCATGTAATGTATCATAACAATGCAAAGTAGTAAACAAGCAACAACATCATCCATTGCATTAATAGTATATTTTTGGTTACAAGTGTTCTTTCATAATATAAGACAACATAATTGACAATCAAAATAAAATAGGAGTCTTGATTTCTCCATCTTCACAAAACCTGGTCGTCGTACCTGTCTATTTGTGACCTATGAATACAAGTTATTTTGAAAGCGAGTATCATCCAAAAAAGCTGGTGAATTCATAAGTATTAATGTGTCTTTGATTTGTAAAACTGTAAAGTAATGACTTGTAAACCTTTGGAAAAAGATTGTATAAGTATGAACTATTTGAAAGCAGTTGAAAGCGTTTGAATACCCTAGCAAATCCCTACGATTTCTATTAGTATAAAGAGTAGCCTTCTACGAAGACCCGAATGTTTTGAAAGTAGTCTTCTACCAAGACTCAAATGTTTAGAAATTAGTATTCTACCAAGACTCAAATGTATGGAAAGTAGTCTTCTACCAAGACTTGTATGTTTTGAAAGTAGTCTTCTACCAAGACTCAAATGTATGGAAAGTAGTCTTATACCAAGACTAAAATGTTTTGCTATAACAAAGATGGTTTTCTCCTCTATAACTATTATTAACAATATATAAAGTCTACCTCGTCGTTTATGTGAATGGATCACAAACTAAAAGTAATAGGAAAAATATAGTCATGTAAGTGTTATCCTTTTGTGGACATCGACAATGGAAAATGGTGGCATATTTGGGGATATGGGGTGAAGCAAACCACAGGAGGTGGAGTGTCACACCCCAAAAACCGAGAACGGCGGAAACGTTTTGGGGCGGAGGATGTCATGTAATGTATCATAACAATGCAAAGTAGTAAACAAGCAACAACATCATCCATTGCATTAATAGTATATTTTTGGTTACAAGTGTTCTTTCATAATATAAGACAACATAATTGACAATCAAAATAAAATAGGAGTCTTGATTTCTCCATCTTCACAAAACCTGGTCGTCGTACCTGTCTATTTGTGACCTATGAATACAAGTTATTTTGAAAGCGAGTATCATCCAAAAAAGCTGGTGAATTCATAAGTATTAATGTGTCTTTGATTTGTAAAACTGTAAAGTAATGACTTGTAAACCTTTGGAAAAAGATTGTATAAGTATGAACTATTTGAAAGCAGTTGAAAGCGTTTGAATACCCTAGCAAATCCCTACGATTTCTATTAGTATAAAGAGTAGCCTTCTACGAAGACCCGAATGTTTTGAAAGTAGTCTTCTACCAAGACTCAAATGTTTAGAAATTAGTATTCTACCAAGACTCAAATGTATGGAAAGTAGTCTTCTACCAAGACTTGTATGTTTTGAAAGTAGTCTTCTACCAAGACTCAAATGTATGGAAAGTAGTCTTATACCAAGACTAAAATGTTTTGCTATAACAAAGATGGTTTTCTCCTCTATAACTATTATTAACAATATATAAAGTCTACCTCGTCGTTTATGTGAATGGATCACAAACTAAAAGTAATAGGAAAAATATAGTCATGTAAGTGTTATCCTTTTGTATTAGGATCAACTCGACATCACGACTGCCGAAATGTATAACCTTGAACATCCGTAGATTGTTCATTTTCCTCTGTAGCTGGCAGTAGGTTTAAGGAATGGTTAGTCCCGTAAAGGTACTCCTAATATAAGTATTAATCGTAGGCATCTGTAGATGTTCATTTACCTCTGTAGCGAACAACAGGTTAAAGGAATGGTTAGTCCCGTAAAGGTACCCCTAATATAAGTATTAACCGTAGGCATCCGTAGATGTTCATTACCTCTGTTGCTATCAGGTGGGTTCCGGAATGGTTAGTCCCGTATAGTTATCCTATTGAACTAGGATAGGCAGAACAAATTTACACGTATAATATGTACTAGTAACTCATCATATAGAATCTAGGTACAAGTATCCATGTAAGAGTATATGAACGTATACCTTTGCTACCTAAAGGTACTGAACTGACTGATTTGAACTATTATGTCTATATATGTACACATGATATATAACTTATATTTAAACGACCTTCGGACGGATACCCGATACCCTACCAGACCACAACCCAATGGGGAAAAGGAAATAAAGCAGGTTAGCCTTCCTAAGTCCTTTAAACATTATTTATATAACTATACATATACATACATGCTTTTAACAAGGTATCTAAGTAAAAGTATCATGTAAGTGTATCTCTACAAGCAACATGTATTCGTATGGACACATGAATGAACTGACTCTGGTGTAATTCCTTGTAATAGGAATAGTAAGTAGTATCTCCTAACTATACCTATAATAGTTACTAGAAATGTACATGTATCAACGAAGGTATACCTATACATATACAGACATGCATTTGA